TAATTTTTGCTGAATTTGATCAACGGGTTGAAAAACATTCGCTGGAAGCTTTAAAAAGACTTTGTTTAGAATATCCTGTGATTACTAATAATTATTGATCATAGGCTTTAGCCATCCTCATATCACACTACCTTTTGTATTATATGCATATGCTTTATCGTTATAATGAATGTTTTATAAATTAATTTAAAATTGCTTTTTAGAGGTTAAACTTTGTATATAGTATACATATTATACATAAAAAGTAAAAAAAAACTTCAGAATAAACTATCTTTAATAAGCTTTCATTAATTGAGAATGACTTTTAAATAATTATACGTAGAATATGAGTGATTTATTCTCAACTATATATATATTTATGTTATATTATATTGGATCAATTAAACAATGTGTGATTAGATGTTAAATACATTTATGGAGAGTTGATTGATTAAGTATTAAATAACAATATAGTTATAATTGACTTTATAATTAATTATTATTTACAATGCGGTAATAATTATATCATCGCTAATTTATAATGTTTGAAGAAAAACAGATCATCTTTATGCTCTTTTTTCAATAGCTTCAATAAACGTGAAATAGCTTAATATACATATACATTACTTACTATTTGATCTTTTTTTTCATAATGGACAAATGTAGTTCTTGTAATAATCACTATCCACCTGAAGCTTTTATGCTTAATGGAAAAAAATATAAGACATGTGTGACTTGTTTAATTAAAAAAGCTGAGAAAAGAGCCAAAAAAAAAGCCTTGCCTGATGATAATAATGTTAATATACCTGAAGTTATTTCATTAGAATATTTAAGTGAATATTTTGCAGAATTGACAGACAATCTTGAGAATAATATGGGGTTATACTTTACAGTACAAGTTGATATTGCCGATATGCCTATTTTAGTTAATCAGAATTTTAATATTAAGTTGATTGCTAATATAATTATTAATTATATTGAAGAGAGTGATGGTTACTCTTGGGTGTAAGTATTAAAAAGATTAAGAAAGTTTTTGTTTTTAAAAAAAATAATATTTAATATTTTCAAATTTTATAAGAGTTAAAACAGCACCACATATCTCAACTTGCCATGAAAATGTTGGCACCTTCTATTTTAGCTACTCTCAGTGTAATAAATTGGCACGTGATTATAAAGAATCAAATCAGCAAAGAATGATTCGTTTTGATTACCATGGAATGCTAATTATATGTGTTGATGTTCCTGCGACTAAAGTTATAATAGATCTTAAACATAATATTCTTCATGAAAGACTAGTTAATGTTACAATGCCTATAAAAATAAAACAAGAAATCAAAGCAAATCTTCATATGGATCCCCTACAAATTCGAACATATCTTCAAGATAAGTTCGATATTTCAAAGATTACAGCACATTAAATTCGTTATTGGTGGTCATTCTTTACTCAGAATTTTTATAAGTCTGAAGAAAATTATGTTAATTTGGCATATACTTTTCTTAAATCAGAACAGGCTGCAGGTTTTGAACTATGTTTTAAGTTAATGAATAGTCAAATTGTTGCTCTTGGTTTTATAACACCTTTATATAATAAAATTCAACAAAAATCTGAAATTCACTGTGATGCAACCTATAAAACTGTGAAAGGATGGTTTGAATTATATGGAATAATTTGTAATTTTGAAGGTTCCAGGTATCCATTAGCTTATCTTATATTAGATACTACAAAAGCCTCTAAAAATGTATCACGAGAAGAATGAAGAACACATGCTCTCTTTGGATTTTTTACTTCACTTCATAATAGGGGATTATATCCGGAATATTTTTACACAGATAAAGACTTTTCTGAGATTAATGCAGCAAAACGAACCTGACCTACTACAGATATACAACTTTGTTAGTGGCACATAGAAAAGGCAATTAATCTAAAGCTTAAATGTCATAAAAAGATTCAACGTATTCACTATTGCTCTGAGGATGCAGCCACAGAATTTAATTTTATAGATTTAGAGTTTAAACCAAATCTAGAAAAATTAAATAATAAAATTTGCCCTCAAAATCTGCGACAAAAAGTTATTGACAATTAAAATGCATTTTAATATGCACTCTAAGATTCCATCTAATGCAAGTGGACAATTTTTAACTTCTACTGAAATTCGAACAAATGCTGTACATGAGATGTATAATTTTTGCTTTAATAATAATCTTGTATAATTATGGTCTTATCTTTGGTGTTCATGATATAAATTTGAACGATGGTGTCTCTGGGCACATTCTACTTATGCAACAATTCCTCTTGGAAAGACAAACATGCTAATTGAAGCACATTGGAAAGTGCTTAAGTATTGCTATCTTTATCATTATAATTGAACAAGATTAGATTATCTTATATGGGTTATTTGTTCTCATGTTCTGCCAGATCAAGTTCTTCGCTTTCAGCAGATGCAACTTGGTCGAATAATTCCATCATGGTTTAATGATTTTAAAAGGAAATGGAAACAGCTTGCAATAAAACCAGTTATTTCAGATGCTAAAAAACATTATACAATTGATCTAGCATGTTGGGTGTGTAGTTGCAAATCATTTTTAAATAGCAGATTTCTTATCTGCAAACATCTAGTTCATTGTGCAATTAAAAAAAAAAAATTAAATAATTCTGAAGGTGTTCGTCTAATATATTCCAATTTTAAATGGCATACAGACTATTCATTTTTAATTGGGATGGTAATAATTCACAAGACTATATTAATACTGAGTTGCAAATATCTACAAACGTAGTTATGGATAATGATTCTTTTATCATTAATGAAAATAATGAAAATCTTGATCCTAAACTTTACCAAGATTGTAAGTCTAAAATAGTTGCATTGGAACATTTAGTAAATCATTTGAACGATGAACTATCAGCAAACAATTTAAAACATGTAAAGAATGTGGTTGACAATATGAAGTGTATATTTACTATCATTGAGGATATAGAAACATCACAACGAAAAAGACAGTGCAACAAAACTTGAAATAAACCAAAGCTGTGGACATTATTTTTACAGTAAATATTAATTTTTTAAAAATTAATATAGAATTTCTAGATAGTATTAATATTTGAGAAATAATGTTGTAAGCTGAAACAGAACTGTAGTAATACTAAGTATATTAAAATAAAATTTCAGCCATTCGCTTTTTGAAATAACTATGCTTTATTAAAGTTACCTTGGCTTAATCATTTAGATTATAATTAACATATTACTTAAGTTTTGAAAAAGACTATGTATTAAATTAATTCTGAATTGCTGTCTTAAGTAATCTAACTATTTTCAACAATTATTAATGAAGAACATGTGGCTAAAATTTCACAAATTAACAAGATAGCTAAAATATAAGGTTATATGAATTTAAATTATTTCTTCATAAAATTAAATATACTTTTCACTATATACTTAGTTTAGAAAATATGAGATAAGCAAGTAAATGCTATTGTAATCATGAAGGTTAAAATGCCAATAAAATTCTTAATGATAGGTGAATCAAGTAACTGAAATTTTTCTTCTCTTAACTTAACTACCTTATAACTCATTGCTGCAGCTAAGCTATTCAAGTAAGCTTCTATATTAATTAATGATAGAATAACATAATAGCAACTTTATTTTTTATTAATAAATAATACTATTCCTTCTCCTATCTAAGCTATATAAAATATTTACAAAGTGCGATTATTTAAATTTAAAATATTATTCATACTTTAAGCATATAAGTTATATGTACATGATGGCTAAAGCCTATGATCGATAATTATTAGTAATCACAGGATATTCTAAACGAAGTTTTTTTAAAACTTTCAGCGAATGTTTCTCAACCTGTTGATCAAACTTAGCAAAAATTAT